ATTTTCATCTTTGTAAGCGCATAAGACAGTGCAAATTATTTCTGTGACAGTCTTTTGAAGTGTGTAAAGCTCCATTTTATCCCATACATAGTAAAAATATTGGGGGGATGATACAATGGACCATTCCCCCCCCCCCCCCCCCCCGGAGGCGTTTATTTTTGTGTTGTGTTTTTTTTTTTTTTTTTCTTTTTTTTTTTTTTTTTTTTTTTTTTTTTTCCCCCCCAAAGGGGGGGGGGGGGGTGTGGGGGGGGGGGGGCTATTTCGTCCGCTCCAAGTTTTTTTCCTATTCTTCCTTTTCCTGTTATTATTATTTTATTGATAATATACTAAAAATGAATAAACACCACCTTCTTTAACATGGTGTACATTGTATACTCGATTTAACACAAGTCAGTCTCCCATAGATATTTAAAGCCGAAGTTAGCTGGTCTCAGCTTATCTGGAGGCCATAGATAAATTTCCCGTCGATTTATATTCAGGCGGTACTGGGGAGGGACAGCGTAATTTCCTGTTCCACAAAACAAGACATCCATTCGTAGAAACCTTTGCGAAAAATACTTAGAATAGGCTCTTTTCATAAAGGCTTCTACGAATGGATTTCTTGAAAATGGATGTCTTGAAAATTTAACATAGACTAAGGTACACCTGCTCAAAAATTTGCTTGAAAAATCTCATGGATAAAATAAAAAGCCCTTGGGAAGAAGCAGAACCGAATGGATATTGTTGATAACAGCAACTTAAATCACTTAGTCTCCGGGAAACTTTAAAAGTACTTGTAGTTCACAAAAATTGTTGAAATTTAATGGCTGATAAATCATGATGGGTTCACTGTCCGGAGGTACTTGCACAAAAAAGTACAATATCATAAATTAAATAATTAATAAAACACCAGCAGCGTTTTAGGACAAAAGAAATAATTTATTTCGCAAGCTTTCATGAAGCTTGTTTGTCCTTGTTTCAAAAAGTAGTGGCACTATTAGTGCTGGAATTGTGCGATCGCGGGACAATGGCCGCAGCAACTGCGCATGGCCTCAGTAAGCATTACAAATTTTAATTATTGATTTTTTTTGCTCGCTCCAGATAATAATAATAATAATAATAATAATAATAATATTAATAATAATAACAATATCAATAACAATCACAGAGACACTTGAATCACCCATGGGTACTTTTATCAAGGCAGTGCAATAATACATAATAAAAAAAAACAAAATTGTTGAAAACAAAATTAATTAAAGAAAACAACAAATCACAGAATCTTATTCCACCAGTGAAACTATCCCCATCCGGACACCAACCAATAATGGGGAAAAGGGATTGCATTCAAATTTAAGTCTGAGAGTGCCATAATCATAAATGTTCCTACCTCGGCACCAACCATGGTGGGGCTGAGGTAGGCTTTAACTCCTGACCCCTCTATTTCAAATTCTCTGATCTGCCACTGCAGTTGTTTAATATTTCTTAATTAGTTTAGAACACTGCAATTGTGACCAAATATACCCCTCTTAAAGTGGTTACGAATCCAATTATCATTAGTATTTATTACTAGCCTAAGCTTTAAGAGTGGAGGTGTAAAAGAAGCACTTCTTACGTTGAATTTTTTGAGGAATTATGTAGGTAATTCCCCTATCACATCAAAGGGCCCAGCAATTAATCTTGCACTGGGGCCCTTTTCGCACCTACTGTAGCTACGCTGCTGACATTTGGTGCTGAGGCATTATCAAGACTAGACTTTTTTCTCATTCTGGACAGCGCCACCAACGAAAAAGTTAATTTAGAGTCAGAATAATCCGAAAAAAAGAAACCGAGTATGGGACGCTAATTAAATTGGGTATGGTGCGCACTAAGTGCAATAAAGAGTGAGTAACCCAAAATTAGGGCCTGGAGCCCAGGCTATATCAAGATATGTTTCTAGCATTTTCTTTTAATTATTTTCAAATGTTCCAAAATCTTGTTTTGTGTAGTATTTGAAGTGTTATTTGTTGGGATGGTATTTTTTGTATGCTTTCTGTTAAAATATGATTATGAATTGTTAGTCTGTATAAAACAGTAATGTATTTTTGACTTTTTCTGTATGGTGATAAATTGCTCTTGGTATGGTAAGAAATGTACATGTAGATAAATATGTATAATGCTGTAAATAAAAACCCACTGTATACAGTAAATTTGAAACCGTGACAGAAAAGTAACTGTAATCATTAATACCCATGTTGGCTGTTGGTATGGTAATAAATAAGATGAAATAAATAATAAATATGTCAGTTATTAATATTATTGTAATTTACCCTATTAGTAGAATTGTAATTTTAGACTAATAAGGCTTTCTATAAATGTTTAAGTTGTTGTTATACTGCTGTGACCAATCTTACCAATTTGTTATTGTTTTATTGTTTTATGAAATAAAAGATCAGAAATATTAAACCTATACAAAAATATATGAAATACTGTACAGGTATAAAAAAACAAAAAAACTACTACAGAATATAGTAGAACTTCTCCTTTTGGATACCCCTATTAAGGAACACCTCCATCAGGGTGCACTTTTTAATTGTGAAGTGAGGGAAATGTATCTTTTAACACTGTAACCAACCCCTATACAGGAGACACCCTATAATTGAGGGGACACATTTAAGGTGTCCCCTTAATATGTATTCTACTGTATACAGGAAATATACTGTATACAAAACCATGATGGAAAAGTACCAGTTTGGGCTGCAGTCACATTATTGGTAACATACATTCGTTTTATAATTCATCATTATTTTTGCAGGGAAATAAAAAATACTGCTACGGGAATTGACATAAATGTTCCAACAGTGAAGGAGAAGGTGGGACGATTACTGACTGATGAGGAATTCCAAGTTATTGTTATCACCAATAATCCAGTTTTTAAACAAGAATCTGCCAAGTCGACAGACTGTGTTCAATTCATGGTGAGTTGTTCTCTAAGAATTTTGCAGTAGATTATCGGCTAAAGCCCGCCACGCATAGCAATTTGGCTCAGCTCCTTGCCTCACAAGGTAGTTTTCTCAGCTTTATTCTTTTTTTATTTTATTTTGAGGAGTCTTGGTTGAGCAGTTAAGGCAGGAGCGCTGCAACCTACAGCCATAATATGGGTACTAATTCAAACGGCATGCTCACCTATGGTTCTGAAGATGGAACAAGTCTTTTCGGATAAGGACTATAAACCGTAGGCCCAGTGTATGAACACTATAAAGAACCCATACGTCTTTTGAGACAGGTGGGGTCATTCCAATGTATTGGTCGATACAGTTATCTGTCACTTGTGGACTATTGAGAGTAGCTGGTACCTGTCTACTGGGTAGATCAGGCACGAGCTAGAGACCCTTAAGGGAGAAGAAAGTTACTGTATGATGTAGTCCACACTTCGAGCGTACTGATCTTCATGTATTACTCTATGCAAGTGCTGTAATGTATACCTCTGCCAAGGAGCTGTCTGTCTGCCTGTTAGCAAGATTATGGAAAAACTGATGAATGAATCTTTAAAATTTAGTGAAATGATACATGATAATAAAGACCCCTTTCAATTTTTGAAAGAAAAGGGTAAAGGTCAGGGTCAACGAAATTTGGTTTTATATCTTCTAGCATAAAAGATAATAATGGAATTGTCCTCCTTTGTATTCAGGCAAAAATTGTGTCTGAATACGACAGGCGATACCACTATTCTCTTGAGGGTATGCCCAGTCAGCAATTATACACAGCCCATATTGTACCAGTACTGTATTCAGGCACAGGGCAGAGAGAAGCAATTTCAAAAAAGTGCCTTGCTCAAGGACACAAGCTAGATGCATAGTGAGGGAAACCTAGTTGGGAAACCAAATTGTTCCTGCTGCACCAAACCACTCATTGTCATTGTTTATGAATACTGTACCTCTTTCTATACAAGCCCACCTAAGAGCAGTTTCCCATGGAATCGAGCATAAGTACAAAAATAGTATAGGGTGTATTTCAATATATTTTATAGAATTCATTTAGTAATCTAAATTTCAGCAAAGAACTAGCTCCATCTTCTTTATATTGGAGAAAGTTGGAATCCTAGTTTTTAATATTCTTTAACTACTGTACACGAATAATTATGAAGTCAGTTTTCATTGGCCAAATGAATTCTACGCAAGGATCCCAGTTTTACAGAAGTTGCGAAGATTGGTAAGTCCTCCTGCACTTCTGTGAACAAGCAATAATCTCCCAAAAAATGACCAAAGTTTCGAAAAGTTTTTACTACTGTTTCATTAATTGTGTCCCGAAAGTCAGTGCCAAAGTGTATACCATGAAAAGAAAAGTATAATTAGATGTGTTAAGAAAGCTCATTTAAATAGATCTCCTGGATTCTTCTAAATTGGGACCCCTGTCTATGTGTTTTATTTGTTGCATTCTTGCACATCACTCTTGCAATCCTTGAATGTGAATTCTTCTAACTTGGAACCCCTGTCTACATGTCTTGATTTGTTGCATTCTTGCACATCATTCTTGCAAATGCACATAGCTCCCATGAGAGCTTTCACATCTAATTGGTCAGTCACCTGTCTCTTTAAAGGGCAAGCACTTTTAGATTTTCGTTTTGATGTAAGGAATATCAACATATTTTGCTCACTGTCACACATGGCAAAATGTGCAGTGAAATATGACTTGGACATGGGCTGAGCTGTTGAGCAAGCTCTCGTTAAAAAGTGCAGATGCAATTCAAATTTGGCCTTTTGAAGTATAAAGGCATTTGTTGCTTATTGCCCCTTGTGGTAAAATTTGCGCTTTAAGATAACATGGACATTTGCAGATTTTGCTAACTGTACTTGTAGCATTCAAGGCTGTTGTGATCATAAAGCTGAATTCACTTTAAGTAGGGCAGGTAACAAAGAATAAATTCAGCCAGTGGTTTTTACATTCCTCTATAATATCCTGGTTGTGAAAAAAAAACCAGTTTAATTGATTTATTTTTGGATGTTTAATGTTTTACTGTACTGGCAAAGTTTCTCAGGATTTTACTTTTTTTAGACCCAATAAAAAAGTTATTGCCTGAATGTCTTCTATGGTATTAGAAAAACAAAATTGACATTTCCCTCCCCCCACCCATCATTTTTTAGTAAATAGTAGAAATTGTAGACTAAGTATTTTATTTTGAATATCAATGCACCTGCCAACAACCTAAGGGTGATTTGGTTTTAGCAAAATAAAAAGCCTCCCTCCCTCTCTCATCACTTTTCCAGCCTAGACGCAGGGTTCCCGGAATGCCGCCCTCAGCGGCGAGTGCGAAGCAACTCAGAGTCAGAAGTGGAACGTGAATTTCGATTTGGTTTTGTAGTCAGATTTTCGAGAAAAACTTCAGCTACCCGTATTTCTCGACTGAGACGTCAATGGGAGCTGTAATTTGTATGGCAAGTAGATGGTGCTACCCTTAATTTGTATTAAGGGAATTTACGCCCACAAACCTTGTAGTTATTAATATTTTGGTTATAATAGAAAATTTTTATTTTTTGGTGACGTCACATTCACGCTAAAGTTAGCATGCATACGTCATAAGCTAGATTACGTCACCTTTTCCTGGTAAAGCAAACTTTCCCGGCGTGCTTTTTTCATGGATAAACAAACACCACTGCTTTGCACATGAGTACCTTGTCTAGCTATGGCTACACGAGACGCATAGTTAGCATATAATACTTAAACAAGGTACGTCTGCAACTGAATTATTTTTTCTTATTTTAATTTATTTCTTTCGAAAGTGTACTTTCTATCACATAAAATTGCACTGTCTACTTAGGCCTAGTCATATTATGCTTCATCGTCCCCTGCTATACACAGTACATCAGTAGGCTAACCCCCACCCCCACGCTACAGTACAGACGTTTGCTAGGCAACAGAACGTGATTGCACCTTTCTTACCAGGTGTTCATGTAAATTTGCATAGGCCTATTGTTAGCTAACCAGCTGAGTGTATTCCTTTGTGAAAATGAATACCGCGGGCCGCCGCGTACTCATTTTCACAAAGCAATTGCATCCCCTCTTGAAAAGAGGGAACTTCGTAATAGTTGTCACCATATCTTCGCTCATTAATCACCGTAATTTAGCTTACATTTATTCTTGGAGGGAGCACTTAAAATGTACAATAATCATTTTACTACCCGACAAACCCGAACTTTATTCATGCATTACATAAATAGTTTCATCTTGTTGTACTCCAACATCACTGGCGCATGGTAACAACCAACTGGCAGACCATTTCCAGTCACACATTACCCTCCATAACGCAATACCCCTTGTTCCGTGTCATCTGGATAGGGTCATAAAGTAATTTTTTATTAGCTCCCCAAAGGAGCGAAACTCCAGGAAGGCTATTGTTTTGACCTATCCTCTTCTTCATGTTCTTGTTGTTGTTGTGCATGTCACTGTTGTTGGTAATTTGTTTGTTACCACGATAACTAAAGTCTGATTGGTTTCAAACTCAATGGCAGAATGTGAGGGGGTATTAAGAAGATGGAGCCTATTGTTTTTGGTATGTGTGATTATGTTAATTTCTCATTTGCATAAATAATATTTCACTAATCAGGTAATTTAGGTTGGTTACCATGATAACTAAAGTTTGGTAAGTCCTGTTGGTTTTTAAACTTGGCAGAATGCAAGATGGTAATAAGGAGACGGAGCCTATTATTAGGTATGTGTGTGAATATGTTAATTGCTCATTTGCATAATTAATATTTCACTAATTAGAAAATTAACACTACATGCTATCATAATTCCCAAAGAAAATTTCTAATTATATATAGTTGAAATTGTAATATTTTTTCATGTTGTTGTCGTTGTTGCTGTTGGTGTAAATTGTTTGTTACCACACAATGACGAAAGTTTGGTACCGTAAGTCTGATCGTTTTCGAACTCCTACTTATTAATCATGTGGAGGCTATGCATTTACTGCGCAGCGTAAAAGGAGCATTTCTAGATGGGGCTTAACTTTCCATTATGCCTCTTGTCTTTAATTTTTAAAATTTGTTTGCAATTTAATTATATCATTTGTATTAATTACGGTAGTTGAATTTCTGTTCTATAAGTAGTGGGATTCTCTCTGTTGAATTAAAATTTTTTTAAATAATTTAAGAAAATATATAAAAATATATAAAAAATTTGGTAAGTATTTGTTGTAAGAAAGATTGCATTAATTATAATTTAATAATAATAATAATAGGAGTTTATGAACCTTTTTAACCTAGGGATTCAAGGTGCTGAAGAATGTGTTAGTGAAAGTTAGGGCGATGGGAAATGGTAAAGAGTAAAGTAATTTAAAACATAGTCAGCTAACTGAACTCCTCGCACATTCATTTTCTCTGCCTCACCGAACACATATGGTATGAATCATGTCTAGTGCTTCTTTTATTTGCTTTCAATGTGTCTACTTGGTAAAAGTGAGAAAGCCGTAGCTGTTTCCCATCAACCATCTTGGATTTGCCATTTCGGAGTAAAAAAAAAAAAAAGAAAAAAAGAATGCCCTCATTCTGCTTTTTCAAACTTTTTGTTTTTACTTGGCCTTCAGTGTTTGCAGGCATTAGCATTTTTTGTAATTCTCCTTGTTAACCACAATGGTTTATCCAGTATGGAATGATTAATTGTAGTATATTAAGAGCTTGTAAATAGATAATACCATAGGCTTAAAAGAGAAAATTATGATCAAACAACATTTATATAGAACGTCTGTTAAGGAAGCAATGTCCTTGACTATGTTTAAAGGGCCACCGAAAAAAGCATTTTTACTATTTAATGTGTGTAATAGCATGCTGAGACATTATTATAGGGTGCTATATTGAAAGTAACTTATACTATTATTATTTAATTAACACGCAACACATACAATTTTTTAATTTTTAATGTTTGTCTTATGTGTGGATAGTCTGTAACATAAATTTACTACTACTATTCTAACTGTTAATAT